AAGAGCTTATCTGACTCATCCAATCATGAGAGGTCAAAGCCAACACCCATTCTGGATACTCCTCCCCCCTCACTATGGAGAAAGGTATGTCTAGCCTATCAAAGAGAAATATTGGGGGGGGGACATATTCTGCAAAGCACCAAAGTGCAGGACAAGAAATAATGGGAAATCCAATCTCAAAGGAGAAATTTTCTTACAGTGAGAATAATTAATTAATGGAATAGCTTACATTGTTCTGAGTGCTCCATCACTAAAGAAATATGAAAGAATTATTACCTAGGCAAAAGAATTTCTTTTTTAAATCCAGAGAAGCAGAAAAATATCAGAAGCAGCTGAGGCAGATACTGCTGTCATTCATTAGGGAGGAGAAATAGCACAATGAGACTTAAAACAATCTGTTAGTGCCAATCTCAGTTAAATGTTAGGTTTTAGTTTAGTTTTAGTTTTTCAATGGGCTTTATTTCCATGACCACAAGATTTATTTGTGCAAAACACCCGCTAGCCATGGATGCACCTGCTCTTCAAGTAAAACCTTTGAGTCCAAGAAGACTTCCAAGCTGGGCACCAAATCTCTCCAGGTCAGTGCTTCTCCATCAAGCGTTAACAGTAACTAATCTCCAGTTCCAGGGTTCTAAAACCCAAAGCCACTTGCCAGGGCTGATTTACAGTCTAATCCAGTGATGGCTAACCTTTTTGTTCTCGCGTGCCCACACCCACAATGCAATGCGCCCTACCTTGTACATGCACACATGCTCCTCTATGTTCCCCAACCACTGTGCATGCATGCAACCCCCGCAACCCCCCCACATGTGCATTACCCCCCCGTGCCCCATTTTGAGCCTAGCAGGCCTTCCTGATGCCTCCTGGGACCAAAAACAGTCCGAGGGGGGGCACTGCAATCCCTCGCACTCTGTTTTGGGCGTAGCAGGCCTCCCCGAAGCCTCCTGAAACAAAAAATGCACACATCTCCTACACATGCGCAGCAGAGACCCAAAAATCAACTGGCCGGCGGGAGGCGTGCACACATGCGTGGTAGAGCTGAGCAATGGTTCACATGCCCACAGAGAGGGTTCTGCCACCAGGGGCCTAATTTTCCCATTCATACCTTCATAGCCTCCAGGGATTGGGCAAGCATAATGATGGCATTACTTGTCATGGAAATAGTGGAGATATATAATTGAAAATCATCAACATATTGGTATTTCACTTGTGCTGATGAATAAACATTGTGTAGCACTTTCATGTAGATATTAAATAGGAACAGAAAGATAGCTAAGCTCTGAAGCACCACACATAAAAGGGACCTAAGACTAGACTTCTTTCTCCCTATTGGAACTGGAAGAAAGAGGAGAACTATCACAAAATAGTTTCCCTCCACTCCCAGCTCCTTAAGTTAATTGAAAAGAATGGTTTAAAAAGCCCCTGAAAGATTCAGAGGAGCCAGGGTGACTGCACAAAATATGACTGATACAATGTGGTTGATCAGCTATTTATAAACACACAGCTAAAGAGGATAAAGAAGAGTTTAGACATACATTGGACAATATAAATATGCAAGTTAGCCTGCATTAAAAGCCACAAAAATTGTGATCAACTCCAGAAGAGCTGTGAGGTTTGGCCACATTCATGCATTATTCATCATATAATTCTACTTCAAATACTGCTTCATTTCTTACCCCTTCCATATATTAAAACCATTTGCATAATAAAAAATATCTAAGCACTTTCTGAAACATTTCTTTTAAAGTAAAAAAAAATCAATCAACAGAAGAACATAATGTATATTGAAAGAGAAACTGGCCAGCAATAACAACAGACAGCTACAAGAAAAGAGTCAATTAAAGTGAATTATCTATATCAGTAATGGCAAAGGGGGGTGTGCGGTTTGCATGCACACATGTGTGCATGTTCGTCTGCTGGAAAATGAACTTCCGGTTTCTAGTGCGTGCATGCGCATCGGCAAGCTAGTCTTCCAGTTTCTGGAGCACATGCGCACATGCTCAAGCCAGAAAATGGAAGACCAACTCTTCCAGTTTCCGGCACTGCCGCACGCACAAAGGCCAGCTGATTGTCACACGGACATGCATGCCAGAAACAGAGAATAGGAATGGGCGACACCGCATGCGCCAGCCGACATGGCTCTGTGTGCCACTTCAGGCATGCTTGCCATAGGTTCGCCATCACGGCCCTATATGGAATAATGGCTAACTAATTTGTAGAAGTTCACTTTGATGTCTAGAATAACTTCATATTTGAAAAGCAAATCTAAAATAGAATTTAATTCTATTTGGAAACTATTTTTAGACTATAAACTTACATATGGAATTGTGCCACGTTCAAAATTTGGCTTTTAATTGGTAGTCTGACATGGACTCTACATATAATTTATAGTGTTGTCTTAATTTATTATCACCTATATTTTTTCTTCTTTTTCTTCTTTAATGACTTCAACTGCGTTAACAAAATGCCCTCTAAGCTTAGATAGCTGTTTGATTTAAAAATATATATGAAAATTCTTTTTATATAAATGTATTGTTTTATGATAGAAAACAAAATATAAAACGGTAAAACAAAAACAATGAAAAAACAGAAAAATATACTCAACCCTAACAACAACAACAAAATCCACAAAAAATAGCATACTAAAAAAAGGAGGAAAAAGTAGTCAATTAAATTTAACATTAAGATCCACCCTGGCTGGATATGAACATGCTTAAAGTATTATAAAATCTTAATGATGGACTAGAACATATCAGTAATAATGTTTTTCAATTTATTTGCTATCTCCATGCATTTTACGCTTTACTATTGATTTTTTTAATTGATATGATCTAATTTTATAATCTTTGAAATTTACATTTGTATTCTTTTTCTTTATACCTTTCTATAATTATATTTTGAATGACCGTTGGCTTATCTGAATGGTCGTTCTCTAGGCACTGCGGGAGTGTCCAAGCATGGTTAACATCAGCTTGCTTCCCAAGGACTGAGTTTAATATTTTTTGTAGCTCCGCCTCCTGCTTTCGTTTCAAAAAACCGAAAGAGTCCAAAAAGGTCGTAGAGGGAGATGCAGAATGTCCCCCACTGGAGTACAGAACCCCGCAGGCACTTATTCGGGTGGGGTTGGACACTCCCGCAGCATCTAGAGAACGACCATTCAGGTAAGCCAACAGTCATTCTCCTAGGCCCTGCTTGGAGTGTCCAAGCACGGGACATGCCAAAGCTATGCCATCCCAGGGAGGGAAGAAGAATTGCCCAAGCCCGCGGGAGTCGCGATGACCTGCTGCAGAACTCTTCTCCCAAAGGATGCTTCAGTGGAGGCAAAGACATCAAGTCTGTAATTCTTGATGAATGGAGATGGACTGGACCACGTACTGGCTCGACATTATCTCCTCAATGGATGCTTGCGTAGCCCACCCAGCCGAAGTTGCGGCGCTCCTCGTTGAGTGCGCTGTGATGCGAAGAGGGACCAGCCTGGCCTGCTATTCATAGGCTATCTTGATGCAAGCACGTATCCATCGTCCTATGGTGGAGGAGGTGACTTTCCTGCCCATAGAGACTGATTGAAAAATATGAAGAATCTGTCCAATTTGCGGAAGGAAGCCGTCCGTTTCATGTAAATACGGACCACTCGACGGACATCAAGCTTATGCCACTGCCGCTCTCTTGGATGTCTGGGGCCTGGACAAAAGTCTGGGAGAACAATTTCCTGGGACCTATGGAAAACGCTGTTAACTTTTGGCACAAAGGCCGGGTCCAATCTGAGGACTACTCTGTCTGAATGCACAATGCAAAGGTCACCCCTGACCGAGAGGGCGGCCATCTCGGATATCCTGTGGGCCAAGGTGATGGAAACCAGGCAGGCTGTTTTAAGGGGCAGATGTCGGAGACCAACGGTTCGAAGTGGTTCAAAGGGAGGTACAGACAGAGCTTGTAGCACGACCGACAAGTCCAAGGTTGGGTACCTGTGGATGACAAGAGGACAGACATTGGTAGCTCCCTTGAGAAAGCCACGGACCTGCAGGTGTCTGGTAAGCGGCAATTGAGAGTCCGTGGACAGGATGGTGGCCAGAGCCACAGTCT